GCTTTAAAAAGAAATAAAAATTAAAAGAAAAGAAATGAGTACTTATAGCTTTAGTTCTTTCATATTAGGGTAATTTTTGTAATAAAAAACAAAAACAGAAAATTAAATAAAATAATTCATTTAATTTATAAGTAGGTACGTGTACATAAAGGACAACATCATTACAACTTCAAAAGAAAGATAATATTTTTCCATTTGAAGGACATTTTTATAACACAAAAAAAAAAAGAATACAAGAAATATAAATTCTTATCAACTTCACAAGCCTCTAATATATCAAATGTTATTTATGCTGTCATCCAAGGACAATATAATATATCATGGCACATACTTTGATGGCACCTTTAAATTTACTGTCCTCATTTTTTTTTATTTTTCTATTTTGTTTGTTGCTTTTTGAAATTAATTTTGTTGTTATGATGATGAAATCAGTGAAATTATGATAAATTTCATTTTTTTTTTTTTGTTTCACTATAAATGCCAACAAAAAGGGAGTCTTTAGAACATCCTAGTTCATAATATTTTATTGTTATTTAAGGAATAAAGTTTGGTTTTAAATTTTCGTCAAAAAATTTGTAAGAAAATGAAACAATGTCCTTGAAGTAAAAATCATAAAAATTCACATATTTCTTCATTTTTCTTAAGAAAATTTACAATTTCGTGTAACGTGTTTTCTTTTTTCAAATAAATTTAAGCAATGCTTATTTAAAAAAATGTAGTCAAATCAGTTATAATTTTAATATTCGACAAAATTTTAAAATATTACAGTCATATGTATATAATTTTTTTATATTAAATATAAATTTTAGAATGTGTATCGATAATGCTGACATTATTATTTATGAACGAATCATTCCCATAGTTAAGTATAAAGCCACCGCATTAATGAATTGGGACAAGGAACCTCCGAAAGAGAACCAGAAAATTACAACAATCGGCCACTTTAACACCAAGCCTCCATCACGAAAAGAGCCGAAAGACGTAATCATTGAAATTAAAAAACAAGAAGATTGCGGATGTGAATGGAGTGCCTGCTTGGCCGTAGTCTAGTAGCCATGCTTATTAAGAATGGCAATATTCGAGAATCCACGAATTGGAGATGAAAAAGGTGCCCGCACTGACTGTCATAGCGGAATCGAATCAGAAATACACAAAGTACTCGGAGAAGAACAAGCCGGATTCTATGAAAACAGAAGTTTTGTGGACTCTAATATACTTAGAATAATCATAAAACAATCCAATAGTCTCCTAATAATCTAATACCTAAACTAGAAGCCATCCGGAAGACATTACACTATAAAGATATTCTCAGAAAAATTGTAAACATCATTAAGCCCATGAATGAAAATACGAGTTCCAGGGTTTTATACGATCGCCAGCTGAACGTGTTTATTCAAGTAGTCTCTAGAATCTTTCTGCTTCATAGTGGTGCTAAAAGAGGTAAAGAAAAGGGTTAATAATCTACAAAACAAAATGCATGAGGTTAAACAATACGGTCCTTATAATTGTGCATTATAATCATGAATAAATTATGAATTGTAATTACGCAATATAATTATGAATAAATAACACGTCCCTTCAACTAGCGACAATTAAATTGAGGACGTGCTTCAATTTAACTTCCTTGGCAGCATCGAAGCAATGGACGACCAAAACGTGATATCAGAATATTCGACTGTGAAACATGGCTGGAGGACACGGCGTATATCAATAAGGCACATGCATGTCTCAACAGATGCCTAAGAATAATATATGAAACATTTATGCCAGAAAAATAACAAACAATGGTTATGGATGATTACGGACTAAAAGCTTATAAACGTGGTTATAAAAAATAGATTATGGCTGACACACACATAAGCAGAACAATGCGAAAGCCAGGCAGGTATTAGATTGAAACCCACAGAGAAAAAGGAAGACCATAACACGTAACGACAAACCAAATTCAATGACGCGCAATGAAATGGAAAACGTTGGTGAGAAATAAAGTGCGACTTAAAATAGGGTGCGATTCAGAGGATTTGTTAAAACCCTATGTTCCAATCGTAAATGAATAAAGGAAAAAAAAATTTTCCGCATGCGAGAGCTTTTTTCTTTCCATTATAAAGAATGAAATATTTTTTTAATGTGGCGCTTTTATTCTAATTTAATCAATTCTTTCTTTTTTTTGCAATAAATTCAGTTTAAAATTTCATTACTGTTCCGATTATTAAATTAAAACAAGTGAAAGTACTTTTTTTTTCAATTTGTTTTCTTGTTTTTGCAAAATTTCCAAAGCAAAATAAAAGTATTAAAGCCTATTGTTATTCCTTCTTTAACACCTGTCAAAAGTAAATATTTTCATTTTTTTTTTTGTTTTTATACCTACCTACCTAAGTTTTAAGATAACTTTGCATATCACAATAACTTTCTTAAATTTACTTTTTGTTTTAAATTTTATCCTTGTTATTTTTATCTTCACACTTTTTCTAATGTTTTCATTTTTGTTTTCAATTTAAGACACACGCAAGTAAAATAATGTAAAAAACAACAAAAACTACAATAATAACAGTAATAATAAAAAAAACAAACGGGACAAAAAATAAAGTTGTAATCTTTTTGGTTAAAAAAAACAAGAAGCGAAGGTAAAAATTTCTATGACAGCATAAAAAAGTAACAGAGGGCAAAGTTTGGCTGGGTTGATATCGATTGTAATTCTATATAAGTACATAATAATCAATTATTGTATTATGATAGCTATTTAAATAGATGTACATAGGCATAAACATAAAGTGATGGGCAATGTACAACCTGCAAAAGAGAAACTTAGCCTACCTAGCCATACCATTTGTTTTGAAAAATAAATGCCCATTAAAATTAACATTAAATTTGGCTTCACAAAAAACACCTTTACGCCTTCTGTTATTCTGATAGCTTTAATATGTAGGTAGATTATCTTGTAAAAAAAAAAAGTAAATTTGTTCCTCATTTTTTTGCTTTGTTTTAATTTACCTGCATATTTTTATATTTTTTTTCTAGTCTTGAGGATATTAAAATGACTTTCTCCCTATTATGGTGTCTTTCTACTTATTCACTAAAAACCATGTTATATTTTTCACTGTTAATATTTTAATGATTGTGTTGTTATTATTGTTGTAAATTTTTCTTTTAAGTATGTTTCAGTTGAGTTTTTAAATTTATGTAATACGGGAGATGACAGCAATGCTGACACTCTTCTTTTCTGTATTATTATTATTTGAATAAAAGAAGGTAGGCAGGCAAACTTTTTCTGATTTTTTTAAAATTTCTCCAAAAACAAACTTTTCATTTCAGTGTTTTTGAGATATTATTGCTGTTGATTTACATTATGAGTGGTTGGTAATGATAAGTTGTGCACTGCTATTTTCGGAAAAAAAATTGTAGGAGACTAAACTTTCGAATTTGTAGTAGAAGTACTGTATTCCCACACCATTTAAAAATTATAACCGCTAACCGAATTAATACGAAGTCGGAAGTGTTAAAGCAGTCAATAAAAAACCGAAAGAATTACAAATTCGGAACACATCAACACTAATGTAGAAGACTGTATTTAAAAGTAACCTGCATTTGTAATCAACATGCCCGAGGTATTTTAGAATTTCGGGTTTTGTTTGAAAAAAGTAGCAATTTTTCTAAATAATTTTTGCAACAGTTGCTTTTCCAGTTTATTGATACTTTCCTTCTCTGTTTAATCAATTTATGCAATATAGTAAGGAACGATAGTAAGGAACTGCATAAAATATAATATGTTGTACTGTTATGGTGGTAAAAAATAGAAAAACCACAAAAGTGATTTGATTGTTCAGACAATAATAAATATAAACGGATGGCAAAAGCAAGACAAAAAAAAAACAATAGAAAAAAGAAAAAAATATAAAAATATAAGAGAATTTCAAAAATTGTTCTTCTTTGTCGTTCCTTTTCATTTTATTAAAAAAAATTCCCTCTGGAGTTATGTCTACTACGAGTAAAGAATAAGATAAAGTAGGATACAAATAAGTCTGAAACTTTTTAAACTGCGACAATAATTGACTTAATTTTCACAAAAAAAAATGAAAAACAAAAAGTAATAAATAAAAATAAAATTATAAAAAACGTAAACAAAAATAATAAACTTCAAAATGAAAAAGCAAAAGACGAAAATTTTTTCTTTTTTTTTAAAGGGAACAAAAAAGAAAATTTTTTTTTTTGAAGTGGCTCCGCTGAATGATGTTAAAATATTAATTTTGCCCTTAGTCACATTCAAATGTGGATTTAAAAAAAATATTTAATTGTAGAAATTTACAACGAAAAAATAATTCTATAGAATTTTTAAAAACTAGATTAGACTGAAATTTTAATCGTAGAAAAATGTTTTTTTTTTACATTTAGTAGATATTTTTAAGGCAATTTCAAAAATTCAATAGTATTGCAATGTAAATCAGAAGGATTCGCGTTCTTATAAACAAAAAAGTGAAGGAGGAAAGAAAATGAGGTTAAGAAGTAATGAAATTTAAAATTATACTCCAAGAATTTTAAATCCAATTCTATTATTATGAGTACAAAATTTAAAAGTAATTTGTAAAATTTTTTAGTTTGAATTGAACATTTTTTTAATTTAGTGCGAGTGAAAATAAAAATTGAAATACATTTTAGTAATAAATTCATTTAGAAATATGAATTCAAATGGGACTTTAACAAAAATATTGGATTTCACATTTTACATTTTTGGAATATCATTTTCTATATGCAGCACAAAATTATTAAAATTATACCTAAGTTTACTAAACATATTTAAATATAATGTCCTGTACGCTTGCCTACATTCTAATAAAAATATTTCCAATTCATTTAAGAACTAAATTAAACGCACATATTTGTTAATGTACATATTTAATTAAATAATTAAATAAACTAAATGTACATATTCAATTAAATATATTTTTCGAACTATTTTGATTATTTTATTTATTTAAATTTTTTTTTTTTTTAGATTTTTATTACAAATTTTGAATGGTGCAAGAATTTCTGATGAATTCCATAATTTCTTAATTGTTCAACATTTTCCAGTAATCCGTGCTCTGCAAAAAGGAAATATAGATGGAACACTGTTTACTTAAATAAGCATATGTATAGTATATGTATGTATATCAATATTACTTAATTAAAATTTAAGCATTACCTTCCATATTATGTACATATGGTACTAAGGAATAATAGAAGAAGCTTTAAAGCCATATTGAAGAAAAAGCATCTATAATAGGAAAATTGAAAATTTGAAAAATGAAAATTTTTTAATGAAGTCATTGAAATGAATTGGAAAGAAAAAAAAATTAGAGTAAACTTTATTGCTTTTTTTACCTTCATCTCTTTCAATCTTCGTAGAACACGAAACTTATTTTCTTAGGATTTTTTTTTATATTTTCATGTTTCTTTATTGTTTCAACTTTTTTTTTCATTTCATTTAATTTATATTGCCAAGTTTTTTTTCCTCTTTCCTATCAAGATAACTAATTGTTTTGTTAATGAATGATTCAATTGACTTGATAAGCTTAAATGGAAGCTATAAAAGTTTATTTCAATTTTTATTAATAAAGGTTAAAAAAGAAGTTATTTTGTATGTACGTACTCAGATACCTAGATGTCTGTTCAAATTTACCTATTTTTGTTGTCTATGATTTTTAGACAAAATAATTGAAAATTTGTTAATGTTAAAAAGTATTTTAAAGTAGGTAATTAACAAAATTCTTAATGAAACAAAAAAAGTACTTATTTTTCTTTTCATTAAAAAAAAATTTAAATAAGAAATTAGTAAAATATACACAAGTAGTTTGTGATTATTAAAATTGAACTGCTTGAACTTTTTAAAATTTAATGAATTAAAATTAAATAAGACTAAGTTGAAGTTGAAATGAAATAGAAAAAATAATATTCAAAATCTGTATTTTAAGCGATGTTGAAAATTTAAAATGTTTATTTAGGATCAGTTTAAATATTACGACTGTTAAAAATATAATTTTATACAACGCCATTATGGCTTTTAAAGATTCAAACAAGTATGAATGTATTCTACATTGTTAAGGCTTTTTCCATTTTTCTTTATGAATGCATATATTAGACAACTTGAAGAGATGTAATAGCAGAGAAATGTAGGAAAACTGAGATTTAAGTTAAAGCGAGTTTAAAGAGTTCCTAGAAGTGTCTCTAAGAATTTGCTGAAGGCAATAAAATGGCATAAAATGATTTTAGTTGGAAAAAATATTTTATTATGAGGTGTGCACTAAAACGTTACATGCTATAATGGCACCCTTTGATTAATTCTCAATAGTACAATATAAATAATACTTATACAAAATTCTTCTTTAAAATACTTAATATTAAGATTTTCTCTTGTTTCTAAAATTAAAAAATTATTACAAAGCCATAGCAACGGCTTTAACTGGACCCTATTTACTTATTTATTTACGCTTACTTTTGTTTACGTTAACATATTTTACTTGGAACTTTGCAAAATTTTATAATGTAATACATTTTTTTCATTATATTAAAACTTTATTATAATAATTATAAAAGTGTCTCAAAAAATTTTATAAAAGTAGTGAAAAGTTCTTAAAAAAGTAATAACTAAGAAAAATTACAATAAATAATATGAAAAATGAAGAAACTATAGTTGTGAAAAACAATCTAATATAAATTTGTATCTTGTTATAAAAAAATACTGAAAATGAAAGTTAAAAGTTGAAAGTTTCTAACAAAATTACTTTATAAAACAACTCTTATCTACTTTTATTCGATATTGTATATAAGTTTTTTGGATTTTTTTTGTAAATTCTATTTAAGAACTTAATAAGGAGTGTAGAACAATACGGAAATTGTAAACTTATGTAACATGCACTATACTATATTAATATAAGTACCAAAGTGTACATTCTTATAAAAAAATAATAAGAGAAAGCAGTACACCATAATATAAACTTACAAAAATTTAGACCATTTTATATGTGTGTATAAATTAAACGCAAGTCCACAATATCATAAGATTTATAAAATTGTAGTAATTTTATTACAGAGGGAAGAAAATATTTTTAATTGAATATGTTATCCCTTTTAAAAGTAACATACATATATGCGTGTATAGATTTCCAAATAAAATCTATATGCATATGTTACGTTTACAAGCTTAATATAATATATCATGCAAGTGATTAGTTAATATGCGAGAAACATCGGCATATCCAAAATTTGTTGCAATTGATTTCAAGAAATTGAATCTCAAGAAATTTTAAGTGACAGTCTGCACTAGTTTGCAGTATATTTACTTGCATGTCGAACAACTGTTATGTAAGCTATATCTAGTTCACTAGCTATCGTAGAAGGAAGCTGTGTGATACTGAGTATTCTTAAATTAGTATAGCCATTCTGCTGTACTAACAAGTTGCCAGATTATTAGTAAACACTATGATACTTTTTGTTGAGAGCTCATAAATGTATCAAGAACTTTGTAAGCATTCTTACAACAAATAATTTTAAAAACACAATAAAGGAAAGGAAGCTAGAATATGAGCAGTAATCTGAATAAATACAAAAGCAACAACAAAAAATAAATAAATAGAGAACAGAAAACTTCTTCAAACTTATATATTACCGTTATAATTTGTTTTTTTTTTCATCTAATTTCCATTATATTATTGTACTGTTATTTTCCTTTATGGGTATAGCAACAGAAACTCTGTACAAAAGAAGAAATTTATTTATTTTTATAAACTCTTTATTTTTGGTTTTTTTTTTCAACAATTTCTCGTTATAAAATTACCATAGAAATATTTTTTTTCACTACACACATGCACATTATTATATTATTCGGAAATTATATGCAGACTTACGATACACAATATTCATACCTAATATCGTAATAAACATGATAATCATACAAAGTAGAAAAAAACACAAGTACTCGAACTTCATTTTTATAAGTTTCCAATTCAATTTAAATTTAAAAGATAAATCTACATATTAATGTACAAAATACGCACATTATATTGTATACAGTAAGGATTAGAACAGAAAAAGAAATGAAAAAGAAAAAATATACAAAATAACATTAAAAAAACCACTAAAGAATTGTTAAGAGTCCTTGATGTTAAATTAGAAAGTAAATATTAAAAATGAAAGTTTAATCAAAATAATCAACCATGCGGTAAAACCGTTAAAGTATAAGTTATATTGAATAAGAATAAAAAAAAGAAAAAAAGAAGAAATTGTATACATACACAAATATTGTAATATCGGTAATAGTAATATTACTGTAGAATATTTTATACACAAGATATTCATGTAACATTAAAAATGTTACATGAATATCTTGTGTATAAAATATTGTACGCGGTTTTGCTTCCCATACAACGATCTATTAAAAATAAAATATTTTTCTTTATATTATAAGAGTAGGATTTTGAAGAGGAGGAAAATCTATGAGCTTGAAGATCAGCAGACTTTCACAATTTATTTACTTGTGTTTGATTAAAGTTAGATTTGCTCCTTGTCTATAGTTATAAAAGCCAGTTAGCATTCCGAAAGTTATTTGATTTAGGAGCTGTATCATTGCGGCTGTGAAACTAGGAAAATACATTTGTTATAATGAACTATGTGTAGGCTAGTATTCAGTACGAAAATAATCCATTGTCCTATATTAGGCATTGTAGTTAACAAAAATAATTTTATACAAAAATTATATTAGTCTTCAGATTTTACAGTTTCTTCTTTTTAATATTTTAGCTAACAGAAACTGCAATAAAACATTTGTCCAAATGTAAAACGCACAAAATCTTTTCTCTCTATAAATTTAATACAAAATGATGTCATGAAAAGAAATAGATAAAATGAAAAGAGAAAGTTATATATGTACGTAGTATATATCTATGTCTAACATGTTATATAATATTATAAAATCTAATAATAAAGAAATATTATAATGCTTAAGGATATTTTTTTAAAAAATTAAAAGGACTTCTTTATTATTGGAAAAATATTTACAATATACTTAAATTAGCTTATATTTTATAATATATAGAGATTAGAGTACATATATTATTATTAATATACATATATAAATATGAGTATATTATAATACGTGCAGGAAAAAAGCGACAGACACTTGTACATAAATATTTACGAGATTTATTTACATTTGAATAAATACCTATTAGCTATTATATTGTGTGATCATATAAGTGGGTATATTATAGTCATAGCAATAGATGTTACAAGATAAAGTAATAGACTTAATTGTAATATATAAGAAATTATTAAATATTATACGTAGAAATGAATGAAAGCACTTTTTTTATTTGTTTTATAGTATAAGTATAATCGATTGCACTTTCATAATTAACGGCGAGCTCTCGTACTTGTATCATTTAATGCGGTTTCAATATAATTTTTTCAAAAATTAATCTTAAGTATACAGAGAAATAATAAAATATACTAAGTATATTTCGTTATTTAAGCTTTGTCATAAGATCCGTTCGTAGCCCTGAAAATTGGAAAATTACGAAAATTCGATTTACTAAAAGTTTTCGTGTTGTGCGAAGGCGTCTTCATTCTCGTTTTGTTTGGGGTGGGGATATCCCGGATTTGTGTAATCTGTAAAATTACGTTAGAATTTTAGTCTATCTAGCGTTGAAGCTCAGAAAAAATTTCAAAATATCTCTGTTGCGTAGGCAAACATACTCCTTTTTTTGTACAGCAAAATATATGAGTACTTTAGTTAAGCGCTGTTTGGAGCTGAGGTCGTTCATCGTTTAATCACTTGGAGAAAATTGATAATTTTAAATGTTTTAACAGACTGAACGCATTTATTGTGTAATTATGGATATAATAATTCTCATTACATTATTTTCTTTAAATTTTTTCCTCCTTTGCTTATAAACGCATTAATTGTTAGTTATGTATTAAAAAAATATCGCAAAATGTTTAATAGAAAACAAAGAACTTTTTTTTTTAATAAGTGAAACAATTTTAAAATTTTTTTTTGTATACATAATCTCATTAAAACTGCAATTAATATAAATTATATTTTCTTTTTAAATATAAACTTAACAAAATCAAAAGCAATAATTCAAATGAATGATTAAACTTCTTTTTCTTATTTAACCTTAACATAAATTCTACGAATGGCACAGATAATTTTTTTTTTTCTATGAGTAAGGGTTTTTTTTATTCTTTTTTCAATTACATTTAATTAAAAAGCAATTCACCATATACGTTTTTTTTATTAGTTGTAGGATGCAATTTCTATAAATATATAAATATAAATTAGTTTTATGAAGTAGACTCGCTTTACATAATTTTGTTGTACATGTAGTTTTGATATACATGTAGTTAATTTAAAAAATTTAATTCAAACATGAATTTCAACTTGATTTTCCATGTACTTTTATTTTTCGGGGTACAAAATTAGAACTGCAACAATATATTGAACTTGGTTTTAATATATTGAAATTAGATTAAATTTTACAATATAAGATAACCTTTTTCAGCGATAAATCATGAATTGTCGAATGTTTTTCAAGCCAATGAATTCAAGTCTTTTATGAACAAACACTTTTTTTCTTTTGTTAAAAGAGCTGTTTGACGAAAGAGCTGGTATAATTAAAATGCCTATTTAAATATTCATCTGAAATTAATTTAAAAATATCTAGTCTATAATTTGACAAAATAACTTTTGTTACTACTTTTGTTCTGTACGAAAAAATGTAGGAGAACAGATTCGTTTTATCTAAAACGTAAATCTTATTAAAATTAACACCTAAAATTTATCCAAGATGTGAACATTTCTTTTAAGTAGATATTTCAGTATTTCAATAGTATTGCGCGGTTTTTCAAAACAGCAGTTCTTAACGTTCTTTTTTGTCTGCAAAATAAATGTGAAACTATTACATTTTTTTTTTAAAGGAACCCATTTGAAAATTTAAGTTTTAAAATTTAGGATAACCTTATATTTTTCTGCATTTACACATTTTCTACAAATAAATTCTTACAAATTCGATGCAGAGTATGCCATATATAACAACAATGTTTAATTTTCCTGTACAATATTTTTCCTAAAATTTTTAATTAAATTGTTATAGGTACTCATTGAAGTAAATAATTGAAGAAAAAATGTTTGCATAATTTACAAGGGTACTATTGCAAAAAAAAAAAAAAAAAACAAAAATATATTGTTTTAATGCCTAGATTATATTTTTTTATAACAATTTTAAGTAATAAATTTTATCATACAAGTAAACAATAGTCCATCAACATTTTCTCGTTCTTCCTTTGTTACAAAAATGAAAAAATATATTACGATTTTGTTCACATAACTCGGAAAAACAAAATGAACAAAAATGAATGTATAAATTACAAAACAAAAAAAATTAAAAGGTTAACAACATGAAAATTCCATTTTCTGCCATACTTTTTGTTTATGCTTTTTTTTTTGTTATTTATTTTAAAAAATGGCTACTTTTTATGCATCATAATTATTATTATAAAAAATGTTGGTAAATATTTTATATGAGCATTTAACTACTAAAGAATAACTATGTAGAAATATGCCAGTTTTACTTTTTCTTTTTTTAGAACATTTTTCATTAAAATTGGGAAAAAAATTCGCCTTATTAACCTTATTCTGTCAGTGCGTTCGTTCTTTAGCTTCATTATCGGTAAATGCGTTCCACATTATTCATTTTCGGTGAATGATTTTTTATTAAATGTTATAAATATTTCTCTTGATTCATTATACAGTGAACTCCTGTTCGAACTCTCCACTCCAAAATGACGAATATATTCTAGAGTTGTGTAGCACTCTGCAGGGGTAAATGATGCGGAACTATTATATCTAAAGCGAAACTCAATAAAAGCTTCCTCTAAGTTTTGTTCTCATCCTAGCAGTGTGCAATAATTATTAAATTTATGTTTTGTATATTAATAGAAATAATTTAAGTAAAAGATCATTAAAAATGTTTTCACTTGCTCAAAGTTAATGTGCTTCTTTAAAAATCGTTCTTTTGATAGGAATTAATTTCTTTTCCTTGTCTTGTTTTATTTTTTTTATTATGTCGTTTTTTTTTATATTATTTAAATTCATTTCAGCAGCAAGGACACATTTTAAAAGGATAATTTGCAGTAAATTAAGCTAAAATAATATGAGTTACAAGAATAAAACAAAAAAAAAAATAAAAACAAGATGGAGAAGCGAATTCATATGTTCATAATTTTATGTTATAAGAAAAAAAAATTAAAATGAAAATAAGCAAAAAGAAAAATTTACATAAAACCAGAAAATTATAAATTATTTTTTATGTTTCTTTTTTTTTTGTTTATTATTCTTGAAATTAAAAAATATGTCACCAGTTCGTTAGCATGCAGGTATTCAGTGCCTTGGTTGTAGAGTTATGTTATAAAAAGTGGTAACACTGCCTACATGCATATATGAATTTTTATTATCAAATCATAATATTCCATAAAATCCTTAGTATTTATTATAATATTAAAATGTAAGCACTCACATAATTACATAAAATCTAATTTATTGCATTCGTTCAATATTGTTAGTTCTTTAGGCTAACAGGATTTTTAGTCATTGTTTGCAGTGAACTAGAAATAATTGTTTTATAAGAAATTAAATTATGTAGGAAATTAATGAAAAAAATGATTTCTAATAGTAATGTTGGTTATTTTTATAATTTAATATGTTATTTAAATATTATGGATTTTTTAATATTACATTTTTTGTTATAAAATCATATGAATAACTCAGCACTTATATATACATAAGTAAACAAATTACATTAATTGCATGCATTGTTAAAATATACATTACATGTGCATATTTACATATCTGCTACAGTATTATGCTATAATTTTAAATGAATTTAAAAAAAAAAGGGTTAAACAAAGACATGGAACTAAAAGTATACATTAATAATTGCATATAACAATTATATTGTGACTAAACGAATCAATAAGTCTATAAGTTTCAATAAAAGTTCTTGTAAAAACTATGAATACAATAATCTGCAATCACATTGGTCGTGACAAAAGGTCTTGCTTTCCAGCACAGGATTTTCTTGAATCTGAAGGCACTGCTAGCTGCGGGTTAGCAATATAAAGCTTTACCGGTAAAGAATGATAAACCATATTCAAGGCATTCGTTGTCGTCGAATTTAACGTTCCTGTAATATTGAGACACTGTCCATCGCTATTCCCCTCCGAACTGCCTTCTTGCAAGTGTATAGAAACATGCTTTCTCCTCAAGCGAGTTCCCTAATTAAATTTTGAATCTAACACAATACTTAAGTGCTTAGCCGTCAAACTAACAGTGAGGAAAACATCCGCAGTTTGGGTAGCCCCTAGTCCGGAATCTTTGTTTGTAGCTCGGTTTTCTCTTGGCTGACTAATAATCAACTTTTTTTCTCTAGGACGGCAAGGCCATCTTATGAAAATCTCATAAGTCACATCAGCGGAGGGAGACTGGTTACTCTCCTATCAGCCACATTCGAAAGAGGATTTTATGGACTGCAGTACCGGCACTATCCAACGAGCCCTCGACACCTTAACTCTAAAGAATCTCGTAGTACATTTGTGGAATAGCTCAATATGCTCTAGTTTGTTCAATAGTTTTTCCTATACCTATAATTTTGTAATAAAATATTGGCCCAAACTCTGATTTAAACTTTAGTTTAAATTTTTTTACCTAGAAACTTTCGAAAGCTTTATCAATTGAAGCATTTTGGTATCAGCTTAGATACTTTTTTATTATGAAAATTCTTTTAAATATTAAATATGATTGTAATTATTTTAATAAATATTCGGTGTTAACTAATTTTAGAAGTTTCAATGCCATTCCAACTTTTCAGTAAACATATTGCTTATAATTAAATTTTAATAACATTTTTTTGTCGAAATTTTGCTTAAGATTTTTTTATATTTTTTTTTTTAGCATTAATACAAAAAATCAAATAAAACATCAAAAAAGATGAAAAAGAAATTTCAAAAATAAAAAGAAAGCATGAAGTTAGCAAAATCAACAAAACAGTAGAGTATAGAAGAGTTTGTGGAGAATAGAAGAGAAAAAAGAGATTACTGGGAAAAATAATTTCTGAAATACGGAGAGAAGAAATTTTAATTAAATTGGTAAGAATTAAGAAACTGAAAGTCTTTACAAATACAATGGAATTTTTTTTGTACCAATCATCACTTTCCTATAATTAAAATGTTTATGTGCGGTTAAATTCAAACAGAAGCGCGGTGTATGTTCCATGACATTCGTTTTATAATCATTCATTTTTCATTTGCTTGTATGAGTCCAAGAGTCTAGAAATGTGTGTTTTATATTATAAGTTTAGAACGATGCTTCCCACAGTCAGAAAATATTATTATTACCTAAGACTTATTACCTAAGCAACTTTTAATATGTATGATATACTGATTCATCAACTTTAAAAGATTTACAAGAGTAAAATTGATCTATACCCTGTTAAAAAATACATCTAAAATTTAATGTGAAAACAAGTATGAACATATTTTGCATTAAAGCCGCCGGTCTTCTCACTGCGGGTTAGAAAAAAATGGTTAACCATAATTAAAATAGATAATATATAAATATACAAAACCACGGGGAAGTGGTGCGCTATTAAGAAAAATTGGCGAAAACTAGAGGTTCACTGAGAACCAAAAGAATTTTTAAAATTAGTAGGAAGTAGGGTAATAAGAGAACATCAAAAATGATGAAAAAAATAATTATAAAATTTAAAAATCAAAATTCAGTATCAATTGAAAAAGTCTTTATTGCAACAATAAAAAATTAAAATGAGAAAAATAATAAAATGAGTAGAAAAACTTTTAACGTTCATCCTTTTCACGAGTTTTTAATTTTTCAAAGTGGTAACAATTAAATCCTTTTAAATTCCCAAAATGAACATTAAAAGAGAAGTTTATAACGTAAATTTTATAATTTAGAAATTTACTTCATCGTTTACAAGTCAAATTAGGGCTATGCTCCAAGTTGTCTATGTTTTCAAAGTTTTACTTTTTTCATTAATTTAATTCCCAGTTTTTCTTTGATTTTTGTTTTGTAACATGACCATTATCTTTCTTATGGTGAATTTTTTTTTTGCCTTTTTTATAGTATACTAAAATAGGACAATTATTATTTTATGACCGCTCGTTTTTTTTAATATTGAATTATATGACTTACGGGACTAGGTTATAGAAATAAAATACTGAATGAAAAACAATTAAAAGAAAAAGAGAGTTTAAAGTTGTAGTCCAATACTTATAAAATAATTTTTTCGTGAACGGCATACTTACATGACCGAATAACAAGAACGTGAAAATGTTTCATGCACATTTATTTTAAACTTCAAGAATATTCCTAAGACATGTGTCGAAGAAAACTCGGTATTCTCAAAACTTCCTTGGAAGTGAACTGCGTAAGATCGAGGAACTTTAGGCGATTTCGGTTACCGGTCGGCTGTATCTGGCAGGTTCAACTTTCCCGATTAGGTTGATAGGAAGATCCAAAATCTTGAGTTTCAATGAAGGTTCGCCTTTGGAAGAAGCAAGTAAGAGTTGAAACTTGTACATCCGTCGATTCTTGTCCTCTCACTCTCAAGTGCTACTTGCGGTAATCCAGCGAGAAAGACAACGAACAGAGCTTCACATTGGGATATAGATTTAAGACATCGAATCCTGAATGACCTGCATTTGATGACGGCCTAGTCGTAAGGAAGTGGCTTTGACGTACCAGCTATGTCAACAAACCAAAGTATCCCATAAAAGTTTGTTTCACTTTCTTCTGAGAGAGCTTTAAATAATCAAATTGGAGTCTGAAACGAGTTAAGATTCACTTTAGTGTCAACTTCCTGAGAATATTGATTATATCTTATTTCTAATAATTCTCAAATCCGATTTATGTCTCTTCTCAATCTGCAACATAGGGTATAGTGGAGAATACTTCTGACTCCTCTCTGTTTACAACATAAGTTGTAAAGCTTCTCGTTATTATAAAATCTTGAGACAATTTTCTTTAAACATCGATGGCGAAGTCCCGTTGAGATATCTAATACAATATTGTATTGTTTTAAGACAGAACACAAAAGTGGTTCTCAGACAAAACTGATATTTTAATATGAAAAAACTTAAACAACTACCGTTTATTGTTCTCTGCGCATAGTCATGGGTACTTGATAGAACACTAACCACATCTTTCCTATAGTCGCATAACAGTACATATATTTTACCTATGTATATAATCCTTAAAATTATTTTTTTTCAATCTGTCATTTTCTAAAATGTCACAACTTTCCCATGCAAAGCTAAATATCAAATGGAATAAAAGATGGAATGGATTTTATTTTTATAATATTTTGTTTTTCAATTAATTTTTCGTAATTAAAATAATTTTATTAACAATCACTTAAATGTATTAAATTAAATGGCAATCATTTAAAAAACTTTAATTTTTAAGTGCACTCACAATTAATTTATTCCTTTTTGAGACAAAAATAATTGTAATTTAACGTTCTTCTTAAAATTTTTCGATTCATTGAACTTAGAAATTTTATACAAAGTGAACAAGGTCAATTGGTTCATTAAAATTAGAGAACAATATTAGAAGTTGTTGTAAAAAATTTTAAACTTGGAAAGTTTTAGAGAAAAATAACATAAAAAGTTTTTTTTTTTTATTTTTAAATTTTAAAAATAAAAAACGAAAATGGCTTTTTAATTTTAGAAAAAGTTCAAAATATAATTGATTAATTGATTTTAATATTCCTTTTAAAGGATTAAAAATCTACTTTTATAATTTACTGGTTATCCTTGACAAATTAAATAAAGTTTTTATCCGTAAAAAGCTCTAATAATTTTTTTTTGTAGTTGAACTACACATCCCTTGCTCATACAACATCAGAGGGGCGCAAATTCCAATAAATTTTTACGATACTTTATGTGACAAAATGTTGAAAAAGCTTTTGGTGTTGACCAAACTATGATAGAAATAATATAGTGAGAAATATAGTAGTACATTTGTAACTTTTTCTATTTTGATTTCGTGTTTCCTTCTATGGACCCGACCAAGTTTAGTAAATTTAATATCATTTTCAAAGCCCGTACTGGGTTTGCGTCAATAGAAAAGAATGTGACAGGATCTTATGCAAAAGGAAACATTTGCCCGATTGCTAATTCGTTGAATGTCTGAACATGCGGAGTATTAGACTCTTTAACAAAATTCTTGATGATGATTGCCTGAAATGATTTTGTAATAAAATCAGGACAGGAAAGTCAGTTAGGTCGCCAATTTGTGAAATATCCACTTTCGAATGAGTAGTTAAACAAAATAAAAATTAAACAATATAATTTTTTTTACTACAATGAACTTTTCATGTTAAATAAATTAAGTAATTATGTAATTGTAAAGTAAAATTTTGATTATTAATTTTAATTGTTTTAATAAAATAAAATATTTTGCAATATAGAAAATTTTCAATACATAATTGATTTAACTTTAGAAAAGTTCACAATTTTATTTATTCAATATTGTTTTGTTCTACTAATTAAATTATAAATAATTTAAAATAATTTAAAAAATTTTTATTTAAAATTTTAAATTAATGATATGTATTGTAAAATTGGAAATTTTAATGAAAATACCTTAAAGGGATTTTCTTTAATAATGTGTTATTTGTAATAATAAATTATTAAATTAATCATTTTTTATTTTAATGAACAATTAGTTAGAAAAAAATTCTTTTTCTGAATAGCTCTTAACTGAATTTTGAGAATTGACTTTGAATGTTTTCTAGCAGTAATAGTAAACGTCATATAATTGATATATTTGTATCGATTTTTTAGGATATTGTACAGAATTATTTCTTCAAAATATTAAATTTAAATTATGGGTACACTTTTATTTTTTTAAAAAATTAACATTTTCTCATACTTTTGTAATTAATACTGACTTGGTTTACAATAACATAATTTTTTACTTTCTACATACTATTTTAATTATGTATACCGTTTTCGTTCTTTTAAGTAAAATGAACTTTGCTTTTTCATCTGTCTCATTGTTACTTATTTGTAATATTAATTTTTGTCTTTTCATATAAGAGAGTTTCCATTCAAAAGCATATGGCACAATAAATTACACAAACCACACTTTTAGTTTGAATAGAACGCAAGTTCTTAAAAGTTCTAACTTGACTCCCGCTGTGCATACTTACTTTTTACTGATATAGAAAAGTATTAAATTTTTATGCGAACTTTTAGAAAAAATTTTCAAAATATTTTTTTTTATTTTCAATATTTTATTAAGGAATTTGAAATATATATACAAAATTAAATATAAATTATAATAAATTTTATTAAATTATTTTCCATTTATATTTTTTTAATAACATTTGAAATCTTTATTTACAAAAATTCATATGAATTTTTTTTTAATTTTTTAATTCTTTTTTTTTCTTTTGTTAATTTCCTGTATATTTGTTTTTCATTTCTCCTTACCCAACGACATTTTTAATTTAATTACCTAATCTCTAAAATTTAACAAATTATTTTTATAATTAAAAATAAATATTTTTCTTTTTTTTTCTCTTTTTACTTTTTACATTATTTTTCCTTTTTTTTATTAATTTCATTTTATATAATTTTTCTTCTATTCAAAATTCAATCAATTTCTTGTTTTTTTAGTTTTAATATTCAATTTTTTTATAATTTTTTTTAACTTTTTTTTTTTTAGGCTATTATTATTGGTTGACAATATTAAGTTTAAATTCGAAACGAATATTACTGTTTCAACAAAATTTGGTGGAACAAATGGAATGGTTACTGTTGGTTCAATATTTCAATAAGAAAAAGCTCAATCGGAACATTATAGGATTTGGGTTTGGTAACTTAAAATTTGTAATTTTAAAAGAAAGTGATTTTTTTTGTAAAGAAATTCAGTACAGTCTTGTTCGTACAATGTTTGAGAACATTTTTTAGTGTCGATTTCAAATGAACATTCTGATATATTTTGTTAAGTAGAAATATTTTAAGTTGATCCAAATATGCCGCAAAATGCTAGTGTCATTATAAAGAGAAAAAAACTATGTCCGTTTATCAAAGTGCAGATCTAAATACTTTAATATTAATTATTCATATAAATGTTGGATTTAGGATTATTTTATCTCAAGAAATTTTATTCCCAAGAAATTTTATAAATACTTCAAAAATATGCAAAATTTTTTGAACACAGCTGATCACATTTCGCTGAACATGATCTGAACACATTTCAAATATTATATTTGAATGAAATCAATTTAGGATTTAGCAACTTAGAAATTTTTTTAATTTTATACTCGGAATAAATTAAGAAACCAAAAAACTTAATACAGTCAGCCACTAAAAATAACTTGTTGCATTTAATTATCCTAACTTTATTTATTTATTTATTTATTTTTTATTGAATATTTTAACTATTTTTATTCGAATTTTCTCCTTATTTTTGTTTTTAACTAGTTTAATTTTATATTTTAAATATACAATAGGTTTTCTTTTTTGTGTCTTTTGATTTTTATATTAATGCTCAAAATTAGCTATAAATACAAAATTAGTTTGAAAATTTTTGTTATCATGTCTACAATATTTTAGTTTTAATTTATTTTTGTTTAACTAGGTGACAATGTTATTGTTATTTTTTCTTTTTTTGTTAATTTTTCTTTTTTCTTTTTTTTTATAATTTTCTAATAAATTAATTTCTATTTTTTATTTTATTATCATTAATGCTAGTTAATATTTTGGTTTAATTGTTTAACCCTCTTTTTAATTACTTTCTATCAGTTATTAAATTTTTTAGCTTCCTTGATTTCCAAAATATAGCAATATCGCCGTTATTATCAAGTGAATTAGCTTAAACATTACTTAAAGAATTGAGTTTAAACATTTATTTGGCGAAAATTGTTAATAAGCTGAAATCGGCTTATTTATGCTTTACAACATGAATTGTTTAATTAATCTTGAACGTGAATAACTGCTGGGTTTTGGTTTACATTTAATTTGTTGAGCTAAATTTAGTCATGAATCCTTAAATTCAACTTGTATATAAATTACGAGCTCGTATTCAGCTTAAGTTTAAAATTAACTATGAATTTAACGTAGCGATGAATTTCTGAATGCACCTTATACATGAATTGCTAAATTCAGTTAAGATTTATAACTGAATTCATGGTATGAATAGCTGAATTCAGCACATACTTGAGTTTTTGAATTAAATGCAGGCAAAGTTAAGCTTAATCATCAATATTAAATTAAATGAGCTGAAACATAAATTTATTGAATTCAGATTTGACGTGAATTGTCGAATTTATTCAGCTTAGATACAAATTGATCAATTCCGTTTAGGTATGAATTGTTGAACTTAGCTTAGCCATTAATGTTATATATTTGTTATTGGATTCACCTCAAACCAATATTTCTAAACCAGATCTAAAAAGCATATTATGTACTGCATTTTGGAATTCAAAGTTTGCCTTTTATGTTAAATATTTTTTTGCTTTAATTAAAAAAAAAATTCCTTTATTTAAATGTTTTTTTTAGTTATTTAATTTTTTTTACAAATTCTAATTTTCATAATTTTTTAATTTTCCTCCTTTATTTAATTTGTTTTGTTTTTAATTCCATTATAATTTTTAATTTTCTTTTATATGAATTATTTTTCAATTTAAAAAATATAAGAATTAATTTTACATTATTTTTATATAATAATTTTTTTTATACTTTTTTATTATTTTAATTAAAAAAAAAATTTAGAATTTATTTAATTCTAATATTTTAGCGTCAGAATCTTGTTGCATGATTTCTATCTGTTTTTGATTTTATTGTATCATCACCATTTATTTGACTAGTTTCTTCGGGAACTGTTTTAAGGAGGCCTGTATTAGAGTTCTAATTTGAGAAAATAAAGAAAGAAAGGAATTTTTGAGTTATTTTTTAGTTTTTAATTTTTTTCTAATAAAAAAGTTTAAATTTTTTCTAATAAATTTAGTAAATTAAAATAAAAGTAAGAACATTCAAGCTCTCAAAGTTAAAAATCCTTAAAAAGAAACTCAGAGAATTTTGAAAGTAGTTTCATTTCTACTTTCTTTTACATTTCGGATTGGAAAAGCTATTAACAAATATATGTGTAAAATGCATCGTGCAAGAATTAATTTATTATTTCATTTAATAAAAAAATTTTCATTGCAATTCTACAAAAATAATAAAAAATTTACAAGGTTATTGAGTCTTATTTCTTCTAATAGATGCTGGCAATTTATTTAAATTTCTTACTTTATTTCTTTGATTGTGTTTTTATGCATAATAAAAAAATTTTATTTCTGCATAATGGTAGTGCACATTAAAGCTATAAAATATTTATTATATATTTCTTATTATTTTTTAGTATTTTTCTATAGTATTTGAAAAATCAAAGGAAAATGAATTAGGAGGAAAACAATACTTTGTAAAATTAAAATAATATGGTAGAATACCAAAAGAAAGAGCGGAAAAAATAATATAAAAGAGATTATTATTTAAATGCTCGTATAACCTAACCTAATTTGTGTGAAACTCTTGTCGATTAGATGCTAATTAAAATTTTACAAATCATAGCTATTTCTATAAAAAATTAATGTTAATAAGCGTAATAATCTATTGTAATTTGTCTTTGCAGTTGTTGATTATTATAAAAAACAATAATTAGCAATCGTCGCAAAATGAATTTATTATTTTACTCCGTATTGCAGTAATCCAATCAGAAAATTATGCTCTATATGCAAACTATGTGGAATAAGAAATTATTTAAGGATTTACACACTTGGTGTATGCCATTTAGACTTAAGTAAATAAATTTTTATCAGAGCACTACAATACAAATTTTTGGGTCAAACGAAAATACGAACTGAAAATAAGGATAACAATTGTAATCAGTTTAAATAACAAATAAAACATACATATTAAAAATCCGTTGAAATGCAATGACTATATTAAGTATAATATTCTCATTACATACTATGTATTTTACTTTTATATTTAGATATTATATAATTGTTTTAGAACTTGTTTAGGGTTTTATTTATTTTCAATTTACTAGTTTTTGTATTGAAAATAATTTCTACCTCATAATTTGCAAATTTTTTCTTAGTTATATTATGTACTTGTTCTAGGTACCTTGTTTTCTCTATGTATCCCTTGAAAAAAAATGTATAATATCATACTTGGATATGAATATTTTCTATTATTTTGCTTTTCTATTATAAATTATATTATAATAATATAATATTTACTATTATTATCCTTACGCTTTATATATTCTTTAACAGCATTTTACTAATGATATTGTATACTATTAAATATAATTGAGGGTATTTTGTATACAAACATTTTTAATATACAGATTTTATTATAAATTATAATGTTAAGCTAACATACCTATGTACATGTTTATATTCCCAATACTTTAAAATTCTTCTATAAAAATGTTAAATTTTAACAATAGAAATAATACGTATTGGAATTTACAAGCAAGGTTCTTCTATACATAAAGAATAAATGCATCACTGCATTATTATTGTTAAGTATTAAGGATTTCAGTTAACGTAATAAAATTTATATTTATATACATATGTATATATATGAATGTATTTATTATACTTATATATTTAAAAATCTATATCCTTATTATTCATTCATTCGTTAAAAAGGATTTATATTAAGTGAAAAATATTTACTATATAATATTGAACAAAATATTATTTTAATATTAAAAAATAAGGGTTATGGTAAAGGATTTTCATTTGAGGAAGAACTAAATATTTTTGTTATTGTGGTAAATATTTTTTGTATTTGTTACTGAATATTGAAATTCATAATATATTTTGTTGATTTATCAATCAATATGCTCAATGTTTAAATAATATTTTTTGCTACTCAACACTTTAGCAACTCCAATTTCATTGCATTTCAGTAGGTTTGTTAGTAAAACGTAAAGCATAGAATTCATAAAATGTACGATGTGATATATGCTCGTTGTCCATCTAAATTTTTAGGAGAAACATATTGTTATTGTAGAAATTTGTTCCTATGGTAATTCCAAATTAGCAATTTTAAAAGTTGAATTTAAAGTGAAAGCTTTTAAAACAATAGTTCTATAAGATTTATAAAATGCAGGAAGGCAATTTTATTAAAATAACAGCTACATTGTAATGTAGCTTGTAATTTAAAAAATATTTAAAATTCTTTTGTCCAATTAAAGTAGCACAACTTATTTTATTCGGAAAATTACTAAAAAATTCTTTAAATTTTGAATAGTTTGAAATCCTAGATTTATACTTCAAACATATTCAAAATACCGATTTATTTTCTCTAAAATCAATTTTATTATTATTTATGAATATTTCATAGAATAAAATCTAGAAAATTTTTATATAGAAAATTGCATTAAGGAGAGTGAATATCAGAAATAAGGATGCTATATATAATAGAAAATCATAAAGGATATATTATAAACAAGTATAAATATTTATTAACATAATATTTCGGTGTGTGTATTATTATATAACTACTCTTTATAATATATATATAGGTGCATAATTATTTTGTATTCTTTATACATAGGTACTTTGTTAAAATATATTCACTTGATTATATTCCATTGCATTTGAAATAGAAAAAAAATTATATTCAATGATATCTAAAATAGAAAACTAAATATAAGTAAAAAAAGAAGGATTTAAACGAAAAGATAAACAAATATAGAGAAAAAAAATTTATTTATCAACATTAAAGACTCGAATACTATCGTTGTTTTAAACAATACAGTTCGAAATATATAACCAGTGAAAGAAAGAAAACGAAAAAATAAAAATTTAAAATTAAATCTTATTTTTTTTTGTGCAATACAGAAACAATCCATTTGAATTGCTTTTCAATGTTTTTTTTCCTAGTTTTCCTTTTTAAATATCTTGCATCGACCTATAAAAAACCAGTCAAATAACAAAAATAACTATCTATATGAACACACAAAAATATTGCATTAAAGACGCATACCTATGTAAATTTGTGTTATAGCTTGGTTTGTAGTGCATACCTATGTAACATGTATACATGTTAAGGGTGTTTTTTATTTTTTTTTTTCACTTGAAATTCTCAGTGAAATAGAACTTTGATTTTGTAAACGAATTCTACAACCATATATACTTATGTTATTTCTGTTTATTTTTTTTTTTTTAGCAATTTCAAAATGAGCAGACTTGCAACAGAACAAAAAGCCGAGAACCTCTTAAGAAAATTCCTTCGGGAATTCGGGAGGGGTGATATGATTAGGAAGTTTAACTTTGATTGAAATCTCAGTTAGCTGCTGAAAGAATCAAATCCACTTAAAATTAGCGACAATCAGTTAGCTACTTAAAGGGAAGTCAAATGTTCTCCTGTATGAATGGGCAAGGACCAAATTTACAATAAAAATCAAGGATCTAAAAACTGCAATTTACAATTATTTTACAAAAAATTTTCCTGTAAATGTGATACAAACGTGTTACATAAAACAACAAAGCATGTAAAGAAAATCGTACACATTAAAATCCCTTAGAAACTAATAATTGAAATTATTTTTAAGAATGAAAAATCTGTACACAATCATAAAATACCATTTTATGCACAGACAAATAATAATGAATACTGAATACAATATAGAAATTTAAAATTCGAAAAAAGATTTGAAAAAAATAAAAAATGTAAGTGATTGTTAGAAAGCAGAATAAAAAGCAGTTGAAAAACAAGAAATTTAATAAATTTACATAGTCATTATCCTTTACGGAAATCCTGTTAAACAAATTATAATCTATATAACGAAAGTTAGAGCGAAACGAAGAAATTATGAAAAAGAAAAATAAAATAAGTTGAATTCAGACATGAATTTTTTTGCCCCCTATAATCTCGAAAGAATAAATGACAGCATTTATTAGATTTTAAAAATTTTTGTCGTTAAAATAATTGTAAAAAATAAACTGGAATGGAAGATAGCATATTGCAAGGATATCAATTAGAAAGTTTTTTTTGTATTCGTTCCACTAGGTATTTGAAGCTTTTATTCGTATATACTCGTACAATAAGAAATTTGGAATTAAAAAAGATCTAGGTAGTGTAAATTTAAAAAGAGTTTAGACTCCATTAATGAAATTTAGCAAGTCATTCACGAGTATCGAAAACTAATTGTCGAGATATTCTTCAAATGTAGTTCTCAATTTAATTAAATAGCATCAATTTTACATTGTTATAAGAATTTCAATTTTATTTACAAACTTATTAGTCATAAAACGTGTGTAATTAAGTTCTAGATTGTTCGTTTACAACCCAAGAAATAAACTAGCAATTAAGTATATGAATTATAAATGTTAAAGATTGAAAAGATCAATGTGGTATTTACTTTAGAAACATTATTAGAAATCGATCAACATTATTTAATCACATACAGTCTATTTAAAAAGTATAAGTACATATTTGTATTTTAAAATGTATTTATCTAAAACCTTATTCGTCTCATAAGATAATTTCCAGACAGAAATTTTTCACTTAAAAGTTCAATAGTACATTCATATATAAAGAAAATTTTCTTGTATCCCGCATATTACAAAATATGGGTGCACAATTTGTAAGCTATACCAAAATTTTAGACATTTTTTAGCTATTCCATAAAATTATATAGATAGTACATGCATTTAATTTAAATTCAATTTAAAATCTTTTAAACTCAAAGAAAGCAATAAAAAAAAAACAAATCGAAAAAAGTTTAATGCTACCAATAGTTTAAGCAATTTTCTTCATCCTTTACAAAAATTTTAGTAGAAAGAATTTTTATCCAAAATAATTAAGATTCGAATTATAAAATAAAAAGGACCCTGATAAAAAGGATATTTTAAAAATTAATTGATTTTAGGGTGTTCTTGAAATTTTTTCTGTTTTAAATGTTTTTTCTTATAACGAATCCAATTGGACATGTGCTGTACTTTAAAATGGTATTTTCTTATAAGGATTATAGATTAATAAAATAAAGGAAAAGCAACAAAAAAAAAACAAGGAGCAACAAAAAAAGATCGCTTTCTTCCTTAATTATTTTCTTTAATTTTGTTTTCTAATTAATTCAATTTCTTGTCAAAAAAAATGGTATATTTTAAAGGAAAAAGGATAAGAGTAAAAACAGAAAAATAAAAAATGAGACATTTTTTCAATTATCTACAATTTTCTTTAAAAAGATTTTAAATTTTTTTTTTTCGATTTTTCCTTGTTTTTGTTTTGTTAAATTCCATTTCAAATAATTGTTTTTCGAGCAATTCCTTCAGAATATTATGAAAATTTCCAATGGAATCTTGAATGAAAAGAAGAAAAATATGTGTATAAGTGTAGTGAATCGTTGCAAGAACAAAAAAAAAAGCAAAAATAAATGTTTTTATCTTGATTCCTTTATTTTTTATTCTTTATTATTTTGTTTTTGTTGTTGTGCTTTCAATCGGTTTGTTATAAAATTCATTCTTGTTAAAAGATGTTTTAGAGAAAAAATTATTTTGTCAAAAGCAGGGATATTAAATTTTCTATAAGATTATAATAATACACACACAGTAAATTTGTTGATGATCAGAATGTAATCATTTTGTGTACAACAGCAAATGGACGAAACGCTACTTGTTGTTTGAGCTTTATATTTTACGATAATAACTTTAAAAAAATATTTTTTTAGTAATGCTTAACAAAATGGAAGCGAAAAACTAGAATATTGAAAATTCTTTCTATTTTTTTTCTTGTAAATTAAAAAAAAAATATCCGTAACTTAAGAAATGAAATGTGGTGCAACAAGGATTATCAAGGGGGGAAAAATCAAATATATATGACTGGGTATTAACTGGTTATAGTGACAGAAAATTTAAAGTTACACGGGAATAAACTCCTTCATTTACAGATACACTTTGTAAGAAAATAAACTTAATGCAGTGGTTGCACCTAATTTAAAATTGTAATTTGTTTTAAAACTATTAAATATATTTTTTTACAATCATATAATAATTATTATTTCATTCAAATATTTTTTGTTGTATAAAAAAAATGTAAAAATTTCTTAACAATTGGTTTTTTTTTTTTTTTTTTTTTAGCTAAGCAACTTTAGTGAACCAGTAAATAACAAATTATGTAACAGCGGCGAATAAAAATTTTCGTTTTCATCAGAGCGAGTAATAATTCAGTTAGATATTGATGTTCCAGTGATGTTCCAGTTAGTACTACAAATTTGCTAAAGTGAGTACTAAGACTATTTTATTGAAGCTTTAGATAATTTTAGATTTAATGCCGCCAAAAAAGGAATTTTATTTCAACTCTCTATAGTATGTTAAGAATTATGAGAAAATATCATTAGGGAACGATCAGATACATATATGATATTTTTATGTACGGTTCAGTTATATTTAAATTTTTTGGAAGTAGATTAATTATTGGTTTTTATCAATGTTATTAAAAAATGCACACATGCACATAAAGTACTTATCGATTTTATCATGCCAAATGGAACGACAAGGGAAATATGATTGAATGTTTATGCCTCGAGCGCGAGATATTGCCCTTATTAACCTATACTCAAACCCACAATCATTTCAAACCCTGGTTTCGCGAGATGGTGACACGATACTGTTAACTGAAGAGTTTTCGATTCCGTATCTTTTTTGGAGCTTATGTTTCTTTTTTGGAGTCCAAAAATCATTGCTTTTTACTAAATCAATTAATTTGTTAAACTGTCAATACGAGTCTTACATGTTGTAATGTCCAGCATTCAAATTGTATTTGCATTAGTTTTTTTTAAGTATGTCAAATGTAGATTTCACTCTAAATAAGTAACGTAATAAGTCCCCAAGGAGTTTATTCTAAATTGTTTTAAATTTTTTTTTTTTATAAAGGTATAGTTTAAATAATTTTTTTTTGTTACTAAAATATTCTGAACAGGATAATTATAGAATTGTGGAAAATTATTTTAATTACGACTTTTTTTCATTTTAGCAAAAAAAAATGAAAAATCTCAAAACTGGGACAATTAAAATATATAAATATTTTTTTTTTTTGTATAAATTGCATATGAGAGTAGAATTTTAAGTTTACAATTTCCGAACAGAGCAAAAAATATAAAATAACCTTCATTGATCTGGAAAAATTATTGCAGTGTTTTTTTCTTTCTCTTTGTTTCGAATTTTTCAGAATAGTCTAAATTTTTATAAAATCCGGGCATTTTTAGGTCAATGTAATGTAAATAAAAGCCCACTGTTTTCTCTTTTCTTTTGATATTCTAAAAATTGTGAAAGTTAACCGTCAAATTGTTTTTAGGACAAAAAATAGAGAGAAAAAAAACAATAAAATTAAAATAAATACAAAAATCAAATCAACAAAATAAATTTACAAAGTCAAAAGCTAATAAAAACGATTTTCTAGGACGGTAGTTTAAAAAAATGAAATTTTTTTTTTTGTTTTATAAATATTAAAATTGAGAAAAAAAGAAATAAACAACAACACAAAAATTAAAAAAAAAACAGAAAACTTTTTGAAGGATTTTATTTATTTATTGATAAAATACACACCTATGTGTGTAGATTTGTTACAAAAACATGCAAGAACGCTCATAAAAATCAATAATTTATATATATAAAAAATATGTATATATAAAATATATTATGATTTATTCATACCGCATCAGTAAAATGAACTGCAGTAGTACCTTGCTGTTGTTGTTGCTGTTGTATTGTACCAGCTGTTGTAATACCACCAATATTTGGTACTACTACAACGGGTGGATGATGATGATGTACTGTACCACTTAATGATGGTGGTAAACTAACTACAGCCGATGATGAGACTAAACCAATTGCTATTGTACTACCACCACCACCAATATTATTACTACCGTTGATATTATTACTATTAATACCAACACTACCAACTATACTACCTCCACCAACAATCGGGTTATTATTACTAATTCCATTTAAATTTGTTGATGTTAATATACCACCACTACTAATATTACTACTGCCATCACTACCACCACCACCTACACCACTGCTACCACCACTGGTATTAGATGATCCTATACTAGATGATTGTGTTGTTGAATTTGATATTGTGGCCGGTTTATGTGACGTAGCAAAAATTGGTGGCGGAGGTGGAAATGATGTTGCCAATTGTGATGGATGTGACATTGTAACACCAGTTAATGTTGCATTTGTACCATACATTGTACTTGTTGAATACATTGGATGATGTGCCAAGTCAATCTAGTTTGTTTTTTTTTTTTTTTGGTGTTGTAATAAAAATAAATATTATTTGTGTGTGCGAATAATTGGATTTTTTTACTTACATATATAAATTTTGTATTTTATTTAATAATCAATTATATCTTATTTATTAACAGTGTTTATTGGTGAATATATTGTTTTAAAATAGGTTGAAGAACATGATTTTTTGAGTATTGGGTAAATAAATATAATATTATAATTAATGATTAAATTAAATTGTTTTATTTTTTTGAAGTTTATGTTTAGGCATGTAAATCAGTCAAATTATATTTGTTTGCGAAAAATATTTAGAAGAATAGATTCATTACATGCATTTCAGCTCACTATATTCTGAATTAGAGTGATCTGAATTACGCCATGCTCTGAATTCATAATTCTATTACACTTATTCAAAACATATCAGGTGTAGAGTTGTAAGCGTTAACATTATAAGAATAAAGCGTGGAATTTGGTTAATTTTATTTTATTATATTTGTGTCGGTAGTTAAAGCTTTTGATTTTAAAAGTAAACACTTTTACTTATCCACTTCGTCTTTTTAGCTTGGTTTATTTCTTTTGTTATTTTCGTGTTTCTTTAAACTTTTTTGACTTTAATGCAAAAATTTATTTCTCAAAAAAAGAAAAAAAATAAAATATAAAAGGAATTTTTTGATTTTTTTTTCTTTAGTTTTCAGAATCAGTTTTTTTTTTCTTTTTGTGTAAGTAAGTGGTGTTTTTTCTCTTTTTTGCATTTCATAAAATATGTGTGGCCTTCCATAAATAAAAATATACAGAAAATTGGCATAAGATTTGTGAAATCCTTCCAAGGATGTACCAACTGGGACCGATTAAAATAAATTTTTTGAAAGCGAAAAAAAGAAAGAAAAAAATAAATAAATTACAAAATAAGAGCAAAAAAGAAAAGATAAAAAGTAATACAAAAAAAAGGATTCCGATAGGAGATTTTAAGGCGTATTTGGTCGGATAAATAAAACAATAAAACTGTTAAAATGGTTTTTAATTTACGATAAAAAAAAATCCAAATCCTTTTTTTGTTATTTTGGTTTATACGCGTTTTCCTTTTTTCTCTCTTCGTTATATGTGTGCTTTAACCGTCATTACTTTTTCACTTCTGTATTTTGTTTTGGTTTTTTCATATTTCATACCAAATATTGTACATATTTTGATTTTATATTAAAGATTAAAAATAAGCAGGACTTTAAAGAAAGGATTTTCATATTTTTTTGTTTTGTTTTTAATATATAGATTTTTCCTCATATGTTCATTCGTTTTATTTTAATGCAATAGCGCTTATAACTTAAAATTTATATATCCTTATTAATTGTAAGATTAACCCTATAAAATATTAAATAACATTTAATTTAACAGGGCTTCTCAACAGAGGTTGGAAAATATATGAAATTATGATTTGAATTAAGCAACTTTATATATTTAAAAATGTAAAAGACATTGAATTGAAGAGACAATTACATATATGAGAGGATGGTGACCGAGATATAGTATGTGGAAACAGGGAAGGAAAATTAAAGTGCTTAAAATTCATTAAGAAGAAAATTTTACAAGAAAAGAACTTAAGTTATCAGTGAGTTGTATGCAACAAACTGGTATGTATGTATTTTTCTTTTTCAATTATAATTGCATAAAATAAATTTCATTGAACTTTTAGTTTAACTAGATTTAATTAATTAATTAGGTACTTCAAATACAATGTCAAGTTACATTCATAATATTTTGGAGTACAATATGTAAGCATAATATGGAGCATAATAATATGTTTTGTGACATTTTAATGACATAAACAAAATAATAATGTTGTTTTAACACTCTTATGTACATGTACAATACTTTGTTATGCTCATTTATTTTAGAATACAAATTTTAATGTCATAACATTTGGAAGTGAACTTTTATGAAAACACCACACATACCACATCTACATAAATTATATATTATTAATTATGAAATTTCATGGAAATATCTATGTATATATGTACATATGTATATAAAATTTTTCTATATAATTATTTATATTACCTGTGAATAAATATTTGGCTCTGCTCTTTTAATATCTGATTGCCTTGGACGTCCTAATGTAGCACTACAATATGGAATTCTTTGATTTGGTTGTGGGGCAGCTAATTCAGCATAATTTAATTCAGTCTAATTTATATTTTGCAAATAATTGTGTTTCAAAAAAAATTCAATCCAATTCATTGTGATAATGTAAGCATTTTAAAATTTTATTGAAATCAGAAAAAAATAGAGAAGAAGAATAAAGAATAAAGAATTTTTGTAGATCTTGTGCAAAAATTTTATTAATAAAATTTTTATGATTTACAACTATGTTTTAAATTATGAATTTTATTTTTAAAATATTTAAAATTTTTTGTTTCATAATACAAAAATAATAATAATTGATATTTGGGTTTCTTCCACGATATTTCTTATATTTTTTATTTAATCATACTGGAAATCTATGTTGGTTTATTAGATGCTTATCCAATCGCGATCTGCTCGAATTGGTGTAAGGGAGAACACATACATTATGAATAGTATTTTATAGTATTTTAGAGTATTTTAGATAGATAAATGCTTTTAGAATTCAAAAATTTCTACATATGTATATTGTTTTAAATAAATAAAAGTTTAAAAGATATGCAAAACGAAAAACTTTAATGTGAAAATCCAAAAATAAATTATATTTTTTTTTAGCCGCAAGATGTCCCATTACTCTAAAATTTTAAACTTGTCAATAATCTCATACATTATGACATGAAGAAATGTTATTCGGTTTTTTCGTTACATTATTCCGTGACACAACCCTTTGGAGCATCTTAATATTTCAGTTAAATTTCAAATTAATTAACATCAAGCAAGCATATATTACGTAAATTTATATTTTCCATGAACTTTGAAAATTTTGTAAACACTAACTATAATAACACGATTCTCATAATTTTTATTTCTCTTTCAAAATATTTTAATTAAAAATTTTAATATATTATCGACCGAATTTGTAAAATTCTCAAAATTATTATATTTGATCTTTATTAATTTTTCACAGTAACATTTTATAATAAATGTCTATTATAATGTTTACAAAGTCTTTTAATTTCTTGAAAAAAAAATTGGTTTATTAATTGAAATTTTATTAATATTATGTTTATACAATATATATTTAATTACATATCATACCTACATTTACACATTTAAAGGTCCTTAATAATTTTCTTGCAAAATATCATTATGTAATACACGTTACTTATAGTTCACTTTCCTTTGTATTAAATAAAAAATATTTGATTTATACAAATTAAATATTAATTTTTTTTTGTGTATTTTTTCACTTTTTATGCATTTAACAGTCTTAAATATAGTATAATTTTTATATAATGTGTATTATATACAATTTTTCACAATAACATTTAATTTAAGTCTCCACTAATTAAATAAATATTTTTTTTTAATGATTTTTTCCATTATAAAGGTTAATTTTATATATTTTGCAGTTATAAATATTTAAAATTATAGTATAACGGTTAAAAATATTATTTCTCGTATAACAGTTCATTTATATTGATATACATACGTACCCTTATAGGTATTATACGTACACCTATTTAAATAGACATTTTAATGAATAAAGAATGTTTGTTTTTGTGTTTTAGTGTGTATATATACATGTAAGGATATGGCTATGTAATTTTGATATTCTGTTTTATTTTTTTGTAGACCAACTTGTTGCTCAGTTCATTTGACTGACCACAATACATTATAATAATTATAATTCTTATACCTTAAAAAAAATTATAATAAAATATTAAATAAAGTGAAAAAATATTCCTTTATTATTATTATATCCAAAAAAAAAAAAACCAAAAATTCCAAAAATATTCAAAAAAAAAAATGGAGGAAAGTTATATTGTTTTTATTAAACCAACAAAAATATTGTAGAAAACAGAAAATGAGAGAGAGAAAAAAAGGTTAAAAATTAAATAAAGAAAGGTATACAAAAGTATACACATTGAATGGTAAAAAATATGAAAAATTATTAAATAATTTGAGTAAACAAGAGAGGCAAAGGTAACACAAAACAATTTAAAAAGGAAATTAATAAAAATAAAGTACTATATAAAAAAAAATAATTAAAGAGTAAAAGACCGCTTTAATAGTATGACCACTTTATTTAAAATCATAGTAGTAGAAATTTTATTCCTGTCTATCACCGTACAACTTCGAATGCAGGTATAAAATTCCCGATCGATGGATGAGGAGTCAGAACGACCCTCTACTTGAGTCGGATTCAAGCGGGTGATACGCAAAGGGAATCGGTGATCAGGTGTGGGTTTGGGTGTAGGGGGTTACCCCGGTCTGCGATTGTATGTTTTATCATTTATGTGTAATGTTTTATTCTTAATACTCGATTCTGCTGTTTGTAGTTCTCGCACCAATTTCATAAATGATATTTAAAACAATTTCTTTGAAATTATTGAAACTGTTTTTTTTTGGTGTTTGAAAATTCTGAACACTTGAAATTTTTCTAGAAAAATTTTTTTAATTTAGCTTAAAAGAGAAATTTACTACTACGGGAGAATACGTAAGATGGTCACACTATACTATTCAGATCTGTGTTTAAAGTAAGAAAAAGAAACAAAAAAGTAACAATAAAAACCAAAGTGAATAATAAAAAAAAATATTTTTGCTTTTTATGTTTTTCTCAGTTAAATAAAAAAATTTCTTTTCTTTTTTTTAATTTCAATCATTTTCATTTCTCATACCGTGTTATATTATAGGTAGACTACTACAGTTATCGACTTCGTATTGCTGCTGTTGTTCATTGTTAATATAAATGCTGTCATCATTTTTTTCTCCCTCCAAAGTACAAATTGTATTCTGATCCTCTACATTTATATTTTCATTATTGTTTTCATAGAATCCCATAGGAGTATGAGTGGAAGTATAAATGTTACTGAAGTAACGATCTACATTACTGCCGTCACCATTGTAATATAATACAATATTATAAATAGCAGCCAGTTCAGTATGGGTTAAAGTACCGCAATTAAAAATATTTTTAACTCTTGGATATTTTTTATGGGCTATTGAAGTTTTTGTCCTATATTTTGTTAATGTTTTCGTTGTCGTTCTTCTTAATATTAATGGTGATAGCGTTTGTACTCGTAATAATAATCCTGCTGTTGATAATGTTGATAGTAGTGGCATCGATGTAAATGATAGTAATGGTAATATTGGTGGTATATTATAATGTAACGGTGATGTGTACATAATTTTATTGTAATAATAATCTGTTGTTTCTTTTGTTATAGTTGAATTATTATATAGAATTTTTAAAATAAAAATGGCGTTTTTAATGATGGTGTTGTAGTAGTAATCATCCTGTACAGTGTATCAAATTTAATTTTTTTTTATATCGTTTACTTTTCATAAATTTTTTAAATTTTTTTTATTTTTTTTACTTTTTTTGTTGCAAGGAAAGTTGAATTTGAATAAACAAACTTAAATTGAAAATGTTACTTTAATGTTACTTTAGGTTTCTACAGGGGTTATGTTTGCAAATATAATTTTCTGTGAATTGTTCAACAAATTTAATAATTAGACCTGTTAAAATGCTCTAAAAACTCTAAGATAATTTGTTACATGTGTTTGTGTTTAACTAATGTTATGTGTGTACCTAGTGTTTACTGACAACTAAAAAAATGTACTGTTTTATAATATGATAAAAATCGGACAAGGTAACCTTCATTTTTTGAAAATTTTCCAGCTTTAAGTGTAAACATAAGCAGTCTCCAGTGGTCGACATTATAGTCGAATAGTCGACGTGCACCAAAACGCAGTTTTTTACGTCAACTTAACTTATTCAGTAATACAATTTTATTTGCTTAATAAAGTAATAAAATTTTGCATTTCGGTGAATACCTCGTATATTTTAATAATTTTGTTAAAATGAAAATGAAATTACATCCTTTATTCCTCTATACCTCCCTATTTATTTTGTATAAATTATTTAATTCATATGGGTACATTAAAAGCGCATTGTAGGTGTAGAATTTTTGTACTGTATAGTATATTATTGTTTACTAAATTTTATAAAACTTTAATTATTAAATTATATTTTTGAAATATTTTTTCAACAATTAAATTTCAATTTTTTGTTTTATTTGTAGTTAGTGATAATTGCAACAGAAAGTTTTTTAAATAGCTGCAACATATAGGAGCATGTTATTTTTATTCTAAGCTTGAGGACATGTACAAGGGCATAGAGTGCTTATAAAAACTCACAATTTGCAAATACCTCAGACCTTCAAAACTTAAACCGAGTAAAAACCTTAAATTAAAACATCTGTGTATAATTAAACATAGCTTACAAAGAAAAATTGGATATTATACAAAGAGAAACTAATTCCTCATTTGTAACAATCGTAACACAAACGAAATAAACCAAATATTCAGAAACGTAAAATAAAGACACGACTGTCGCCTTAGTAGGCGAATTTAAGCCATTCATGTCGCAGATATTTATTTCACTTCCAAGATCATGTGGTTTACAAGATCATGTGGAAAAATAGCTTTTCTCGCACCAAAATCAGAAAATTTTTATTTTTTGAGTTGTCACAATTTAATTGTGACATATACTAAATCGTACCCATAGTTTAAAAAGTAATAATAACAAAAAAAAAAAAATAAATTTTTTACACTTTTTTGGTCCGCTTATTGTGGCGGGTTAATTTTTTTCTTTATTTAAATAAATAGCGGATAATTTTGTTTTTTCTTGCTTTATTTTTATTATTATTTACTTTTGTGTTTAATTTTTTAACGGTGTTTTCTATTGGTAGTTATTTTTTTTTTTGTTGGTTTTAACTTTCCGGTAATTTCAATATACACGTTCTTTATTTTTTTTGTATTAACTTTATGTTGAAAACTGTTGAACACTCCGTTTGATGATAATTATAGGTAGGATACACACACATTTATGTTATTATAATTTTAAGTACACAATATTTTGTTTGCAGACTGGGGGTACGTTTAAAGTTTTGTTACCTATACATCCTTTTTTTGTTTCAATTTTTGTTTATTTTACTGTTTTTTTTTTTTAGTATTATTACTGCAGCTTAACTTTTTAATCGCACTTTGAAAGAAAA